TACTTCTTAAGAGTAAGTCCTTCCTTCTCCATGAGAGAAAGAGGCCTTTGCTCAGCAGTGGGCGCTGATAGACTGATGACGTACAGAAAATAGTATTAACGATTATAATTAAATGTGTTACTTAAGAAACATTTTATTTAAACGACAAATAAAATGAAAGTGTCAAAATTGAAAGAATTTTTTAATCAGTAGTAATTTATTTATTTCAAAGCTATGTTATATAAGATTTTATTTTATGAAAAAAAATTATCCTAACTTTTATGTAGATTATTATATTAAAATATTTAAACTTAAATACAAATTGTCTTAAAATAACAATCATAAAAAAATATATGAAAACGAAATATTTTAAATACACATATATAGTAGTAATATTATTTAATATTAAAACTATTGCACGTGCTGGTAAGATTATTTATCTCAATTGCAATCTCGTTATCAGAGTAAGGACGACGCACTTGCACTGATAAGACTGCAATTGATAAGAAACATACGTTCACCTCTGTTATACATACTTAAATAAAAAAATATATGTTTATACATTCTTATATGTATGCAATTTAATTTTATTTCTTCTATAAAATAATATACCTAAATAATTGTAATAAATAAGAAGGAAAAAAAAGTATAAAAATATTTGACATATATTCATATAAGCTTTGGTCTAGAACTTTGGTTGAATTTAAAAAAAATATATTAATTAGTGTTGCCAGTTAAATTATATTAATTAAATTATTCTAAATTTAAATTTCCTATATAAAATTTCAACAAACAGCCACGACTTGTAAATAAACATATTTATTATTTATTCATCCAGGTCGCACAGTAAATACTAATGGAAAGCTATAAACCCAACTCATATACATAAACTAATTTTAAAACAAATAACAAAACAGCTAAGATTGTCTCATTCAGTACAAACTTGTTCCGAGTTAATATCTTTAAAAGTTTCAGTTACTTCAAAATAAATTCATTATATGAACTTGAAATAACCGAGCACAGATAACAAATGGATGAATTAATCTGATTTATATAAAACCTCCTTCCGTCGTTCAATTGGTGTTGCCAGTAATCATTTAGTGTAGTAAAGATGAAGTTAATTTTCATAGTATATTCAATGTTAAGACATATTCATTATTATACATATTATAATCTTGACTTTAAATTAACTGTAGAGATTTAAAACAAGCAAATTATAGATTAAAAACTTTTTTAATACAAAGAAATGCTAGATTAAATTCATAGTGAAATAAATTTTTATATAATTAAAATTTAAAAGAATTATATTGTACAAATGAATTTTTGTTTTACAGCCAATTTCAATTAACTAGACTACTGATATTTTAATGGCTGTAACGTATTTATAAATGTCTGTAGAGAAAATATTTTTCGTTATTTTATCGACCAAAAACTGGTACATCGAAATCAAAGCTTGCACTCTATTAAAGAATCCGAAATAAAAAAACACAGCTATAATAGTTTGAAGGTATTTTTGTAATGTCAAACTGACAGTTTATTGCAGTATGACTTTGACACGTACAAGAAAAGCTGGCAATTAAAATTGTTTCATATAAATAATATACATCTGCCGTGTTAAGTATGTATGAATTATTTATTTGGCGTTGTTACAGGATGTGCTCTCTTATCTAGATGTTTTTAGAATTCAAGACATTTTTTTTCACAAATCATCCGAGCTAGTCAACATGTGTCGACATGTAAAATAAACCAATTACTTTGATAAAAAAAAAATAATTGCTAGCCATCTTGTTTCACACGTATATCTATAATAAAATAATAATGACAGTTTACGTCAACGTCATTCCGCTGACGTTTCGTTTTGAATTGATTATCGAAAAAAAAAATACAATAAGCTATAAAGTGGAGCATTCTGCCAACACACCGAGGAGGTCGGATTACATTTATCACGACTATCGCTAATCAGGCTGCTTTCTAATTTGCTCGTCTTATGCTTTGAAACGAGAACGAATTTATATCGACGATATCTGGCCTGTCAATATTTGGTAATCTTTAATATTAATTGCCCCGTATATTGGGCTGTGCGAAAATATCTCATTCATATTAACCATATAAGTTAATAGATACTAAAATAACTCTGATAAACCAATGTTTCTTTTTTTTGCAGTTGAAATTTCTAGAATTCCGTCAATTTATAAAATAAAAGTAAATTTTAGCGAGAGCTGTCAGTTTAATCTAAATTAACATAACCATAGACCAAAGAGTCCGAGCCGCGTGTGCAAAAAAAAAAAAAACAAACTCACAAACATTACTGAAACTCACAAACGATGGTATCGCTAAATTTCCAATTTCACCGCTTTGCGTCTCCTCCGATTATTTTTATTTCTTTTCGATGACCGTCTTGGGCCTCGCAATAAATTATAGTTCGGTAGCCCTTTTAAAGGGTTATATATATATATATATTTTTTTGTATTTTGTTTAGACCTTTGAAGAATTTATGTCCCATCTTACTTAGTAGTGGTCAGGCTTGTCTGCTTCGCTTTAAAGTTTTGCGGGAACCGACTTTTGTGATATATTTTTGTAAGTAGTAAATTAAATATTTTGCATTAACTTTAAATGTACTTTCGATATATTTGTTTGCATCATTCTGTATTGTGTGATAAGAAACTTCTTGGTTTATACTTTATACCATAGATATAGATCGCTTTTATAAAGATGTACAAAAAACTTTAAAAAATTCTTAAAGGATCAGTTCATATAATGAAAAGAATATTCATACTTGTCAGTTATATAATTCCAATATTTATTTGAGTATTAATAATATTTTGTCTAGCAGTGTTTACAGTTGAAATAAAACAACACCTCAAACCTTATGGCAGACAAAACGGATTCCGAATACTGGCAATTGGAATAGTTTTCAGTGTTTTTTTTTTATCTCATTTTTAAACCTCAGGCATCCTAACGGTATATCGAGACATAACTTTGGGACGGACCGCGAACAAACTTTTTTATGTTATTTTTCTCGACTTCACTTCGTCGCGTTCGATTTTCGAATGTTAAATTTTTAATCGTCTATACGTCGTGAAAGCTGAGGATAAAATTAAAAATATTAATATCTTTAATATATGGTACTATGTACAGGTATTAATTGTTATTTCGAGTGCTTTCAGATGATTATCTAGTTACAGATTGCTGTAAAAGCTATATCCATCAGTATTACTAACATATCAGAGTATTAATCTTATGATATGAATATTATAGCAAGATATTTTCCTTGAGTTTCGTACATTACATTGAATTTATAGTAAATTTCAAGTCAAAAATGGAATTAGGACAAAAAGCATACTGGCAACTGTAATTACGTTCAACGCCGGCCAAAATTAAAAAGAAAAGTTACACAGCAAGAATCCCGCCTATTTTTAAAAATGGAACCCGACGATGATTCGCCTAATTAATAAACCAATCACGTACAGTCGAGACGCGGCGTCGAGGCGCGGCGGACGTGCGGGAGCGGGGGATGAACGTTCGGAAATTCGAATACTATATTTTTTCTGCACACCAAGCATTGTTGTGGTACTTGTAATTGGCTTAACGGCTAAAATCGTCTTAATTATAAAATTAATTACCCATATAAATTATATTCCACCGCACAAGCTAGATGTTAGATCATAAAAACTACCAGACGAGTATTAAAAGAATTCTTGTTAATGAGACAGCATTAACGACCCGATGTTTATCTATTTCGTAATAACAGATCAATGAAAATAATCAAATTACAAACAATAAAATTTAAAGACCAAAAACAACGAGTCATTCGTTCAATGAAATCGTTACTTTAATTGGTTCCACGTGAATTCTCACAGTATAAGAGAAAAAAAAATATCTTTTTAACGTTGGCACCGAAAAATTATGTCAAAAAATCGATGCTCTGTCTTCTTGGGTTTTAGAAAAAAAAAAAACATCATTTAACAAATAAATACATTCCCGGTTATGTCCTTGCGCAGCACGACTGTAAAAACTAGTTGAATAATAAATGGTTAGATTGGCAGTACTGGCCCGAGGAAGGACGAGCGGCGGCGGAGATTAGCGAGCGCTCTTTTTGCGTGCATCAATCGATGCGCTCGCGCATTCACACGATGAATTATTCAAAAATTGACATGAAATGGCGTATGGTTCTTTTTTTAAAATGAAAGGTGCCCGATTGAGGACTGTAACCGCCTGACGAATTCATTGGCTAACGGCTTTTTACTCGCTGTAATTGCTGTATATTTATTCTGAGTCAAAGAAGAAATTAATTGACGAAAATTCAAAGTGAACGATAACGCTACATTTGAATAAAGTATTACGTGATCGAACTCATTCCGCACCGACCGCGGACATCACGGTTATAAAATTTATTTACTGACAAACCGCAAATAAAGTTCTCTGGCGAAGTATTTACAGCGAATGCGTTATTGCTACATGTTATACACAGCTCTATGCAGATAATATTATAAGCGGACGAGTAACGCGAAAGTCAAGTATATGAAAATCAAGTATTACCCAAGATCTAGGCATGTATCGACATAAAAAAAGATAATTAATTCCGTTAATGTTGTTAATGATTCGTCTGACAGCGATTTCCAAGTATAAGTAATCATCTGAATTCTGTCTTTGATTGGACAAAGCTTCTTACGTGCGCTTTTTCGTTAAATGACTTCATCTGCTCCACAACACTGTCAGTTATGGATATGATGTCTTTACATGGACTTTGGTGAAAAACAAAGCATTTGATCAATCAATAATATTCTATATGTGATATGTAGCGGTATTAATTTTTTTGCTTTTATATTTGGTCTCATTAACTGTGAATGTTTCTTATTATTATTGTACTAAAGTTGGTAATTGAGTGTTCGGTTCTAACGCGTCAAAGCATTCAGGAATACGATCACGATTATCAGAAACTGAAGACAATAGGTTTGTTGTGCCAACAAATCGGTACAGGTTAACGCATGGAACTTCTTAAAGCTATGGTGTGTACTTACTTGTATGAAGAGAATGACATGTTCCCATCCATGGGCTGTTCGTCGCCTGTAGTTAGCATGAGTGTGTTCATCTGGACTATCGATAAATAGAGTCACAACAGTCTGTCCTTATCATCGTACACGTCACATCACTAGTCCGTGTCCTGGAACAAATGTGACAAAATTAATACACAAACAAATTAACAGCAATACTTATATAATGATTTACTTTATCGTCATTAGTCTATCAGAGCCCACTGCTGAGAGGCCTCTTTCTCACATGGAGAAGGTTTGAGCATTAATCACCACGCTTGCTCAATACTGGTTGGTGATTTCAAACTTATAATTGTGAAACTATAAGTCCAGGTTTCCTCACGATGTTTTCCTTCACCGTATGTCAGAATCTCAGAAAGTACATATGACTCCGAAAAACACATTGGTACTTGCCAGGTTTGAACCCGCGCCCTCTGCAACGAGAGGCGGGCCATTTAACCACTGGGCCAACACTGACTTAGATTTACTTTATACATGCCATATATTAAAATGTAACATAATAATCAATCTCAATATACAAGAATCCAAGCCGGGCGAAATATTATACGTCATTGTCATTGTGAATGAGAAAAATGTTAAGTGCATGTTAGATTAATCCCCAAAATATTGACACATGTTACAAAATACAGCTTCCTCACTAATCTAACACATCTGGAATCGAACTGGTATCAGATGCGAGATACCAGCCCGTCCGTTCGAACCGGCCCGGCGGCCATATTGAATCTGATTGACAGCTGTCAATGTTGGCGGCACTGAGACGAGTCGCAGCGCCTTCGCGTCACCGTTTTTTTTTTTTAAATTCTAAAATAATCGATGATTAAATTTGTAAGACGTAGTTCTGTACGAACATAAAACTCTTGCGTTATTTATATGCTAATCATAATAAAAATCGCATATGATATTTTTTTATTATATATATATATATAGGGAAAAAACGTCCAATTATTCATAATTTTCAGCCATTACCGTATATTTTATATTATAAAGACGTCACTGAAACGCGTGTCCGTCCGTGACATTGTACACCTGACTGTTTTAAAACTAATCAATAATGAACTTTATTATCACGTAATACATATCATATTCAAATGTCCGTTATATTTCTTAGCTATTGCAAAATAGCATTTATTTGATTATGAAGGTTTGCTTGTAATACATAATGATTTTGGAATGTGTTAACTAAGCGAGTTAAAAACGAAATAAATTATTTAATATGAATTTATAACTTTACAAGTTTTCAAACTGTTCATCAAAATTATATAGATGTCAAAATAATACGATAAATTGTCACAACTATATAAATTACGTCACCATTTTGTTTCTATATTTAAAAACTAACGTACTTTATAACAGAAATAATAGTTGACAATGCAATAATATAATAAAGAATTATATTATAACCAGTAGCCATTGGATAACTCGTGATATATTCCAAGTATTTACCAATCCATCAATGCTTTTTAGAATTACCGTCGTAATTTGTCATAAACGGCCGCCATGACGCCGATGATAGATCAACAAGATTTTAATGTTACACGCATTCCCTTACACGAAGTACTTTTTTACGTCACGACAATTTTATCGTATTGATAATTCCGTTACGATATTTTTGTCGTACGTTATAAAAATTATATAAGTATTATCTGTGTTATAATAGAAAATGTAAAAATATTTTTTTAAATGGATACCTAATTCATTATAATGGGTGATAATTTGAAAAAGTTTATTTCTTATATAAAAAAGCGATACTTAAATGATCTCTATATTAAAACCTTCCATACTTTCTAAATAATGTTTCTTGATTGATCTCTCTTAAAATTTTCTGTTTTACCGATAACATCGGTTATCGAGCATCTCTGTCACATCACTAGGCTATATCGATAAATCTAAACAACACCAGTAGTCGAACGGACCAATTAAGTTAGAATATTTTAATGTCTCAACTAATGTACATTATATTTTATAATGTACTTCATAATCTTTTAATTCATTACACCTTAGTGCAAATCACTAATACCCGGTAAGGACTTCGTAAGTACTTGTAAATATAGAACTACGGAAATTTTTATTTATGTTAAAATATTTAAATCGAATCAAAATTATTTGCCGCCATTCTTATTGTTGCTATGTTTTTATACAAAATCAAATAATTATATGTCATTGGACCGTTAGAAATAAGACATTACAATAAGGAGACAAAAATTTAGTATTAATCTTCAAATAGGCCTGTTTTGCAAGGTATTAATCAAGTTGAATTTATAGCTTTACAAGTTTTCAAACTCCTCATCACAATGATGTCTGTCAAAACTAAATTAAATTGAAGTATTATTTTATCGAAGCCAATGCAAGAAAGAACTTAAACCGCCACCTTTATCTTGTAAGCGCTAGGTCATAAAGTGTCATTATTTGATAACACAAGCCGCTTCCAACTATAACATCACTGTTTTGATATATCACAGAGCTAATAAAAAACATAGCCGTGAGACTTGCCTTACAGTTTACACAGCCGTCATACCAAATATATTAATATTTTAATTACTCACCATATTATTATATATATTTTATCTACTTTAAAGCTATTAAGTTGGAAAAACTTCGATATTAAAATGATCATGTTGATGATTCTTATGAAATGTCAAAAAATCTGTCATGGCGTCCGTCATAGCTTATATTAATTATTATATTTAGAGAATTAATCTGTTTATAGACTTGATATTTAATTTAGTTAAGTATTAATATAAGAACATTTATAATTTTATGGATTTCTTTTAACTTTGATAAGATTATTGTAAGAAAACGAATTGAAGTAAATACTTTTTACATATAATTATTTTATTAGTGCTTACGGTAATTCAACTTCACTGATATTCATAGAAAATAATAAACACAAAAATATCGTAAAAAACTGATCATTGTGTTATTTATTTTCTAAGTCTTAAATTATATAAGCAAATTTAATGCATTTATATATGCTAATAAAGGGACTTTATATACGGCCGCTTAGACATTTTAATGAACCGTTCAGAAATAGGGCTATTTAAAATATTTGACAACTATTTCAAGTGACAATAATACATTTTTTTTATTAACAATATAAGTGTAGAATAATTTCTACACTTACATATATTGTTAATATTAATATATAGGAAATGGAAATTTGTATTTAAAAAAATATAAATTATATTACTTTGTTGTTTCAACGGGTTAATTTATTTTAGTTTCCTAACTAAGCTAGGTTTATTAATAGTTTCACAGCCATCAAACAAATATTATCATAGTCTTGACGTATTTTATAGTCTTTATTTACTCTGCTTTAACTGTAGCGCTGTTATATCGATGTTTTTTACATATAAAACCTTTTCAAAATATAGGTGCCATTGACATAGATTGTGTCATGACTTTTTTATTCAAATATATATTTTATTTAAATAAAATGATTGTTTATTTAAAGTTAAGACATTTTAAGAGTAATTCTGATTAGATCTATCCTTATACTTCAGTTTAAAGTTAAATATATATTTAACTTGTATATGAATAATGTTTCCTTAATTCTTTTAGGTATCTCAAATTGGTCTTACGTTAAAAAAAACCATGCTTAATATAAAAATAATAATTTTGAGGTCTCAGCGTTTATTAATAAATAATTTACTTATACTTTTCTTACTTCACTTTTTAACGTTATTATCTTTTAAAGCTAATTTTCAATATGTTAATCAGTCATTTATATCGCGTCTTTCAAAAACATTAAATTTCAATATTTTTTTATAATAAATTATGATACTATTCAAGCTATTTGTAGTTATAAACTAAACTTTTTAATTAAAGTAAAAAAATATTGCTAACTCTATATTTACACGATAATCTTAATATAAGGAAAGTAGGTAATGTTTTTATTTTTAAATAACAATAATATAAAATTATTTTAATTTCATAAACTTATCAAAAAAAAATCTTACATTCATTTTCATATATATATATATCTCTTTGATTTTAAATAGTTTTTAATTATTTTAAACGATATTTCTCATATAATTCTTAATACATTTTTTTATAATTAAATTATAACGGCGTTTTCTAGATAGAATCACTCATAATATATGAAATTTAATTATTTTATACATACATATATATGTCACATAGACTTTACATCCTCACACAAGTTTGTTCAACCTTATTACTTTATAAATATTTAAATGAGGGTCGTAAGGTTGTATTAATTTCCTCAGTGAAATTACTAACGACGGTGCCATATTAAAATTATTATTATATTACCATATAATAAAATAAATCTTAATTTATATATACTGATATAAAAATATATATATATAGAGTATAGAAAAATCAATTTATATGTAACATACCTATATAACTAACTATAGTCCTAGATAACACAGAAACACGTTTGTTTTGATAATTTTTTTTAATAACTATCACATTAAGTCCCACATTAACACCGTTTAGAACAAACACAATACACTTATGTCGAAAGTATCATTTGTTTAGTGGACGCGTCGGTGTGACTGCGCCGGCGGACGATCACGACAGACTGCTGCGCACGCGCACCTCACACAGAACGACGGCACAGGCAGGTGGGGTCAACATTTTATATTACGTTCATAATTAATATTTGTTCATATTAATATAAGATTCAAATATTAAATTGAATTATTTAACACAAATCATATATTTATATTATAAATTTATATAATACATATAGTAATTTTTGATCAATAATATTAAATTTAATTCTGTATAAACATATATGTGTGAAATATAATGAAGTTAGTCTACAATAAATATTATTATATCAATACAAACAGTTCACAACCCCTGACTAAACCTGTTGACTCAACAAATGTATGCATTAAACTTACCAGGATCGACAAAAATATAACTGACTCTTTCTAACACGTTCATTTATAATATTGTTAGAAAAGGACAAAGATATCGTCGCGAGTGATTGAACAGTGATCTTAAGCAGCAATTACAAACACGATACATCTTAAGCTTAACGTATATTGCCATTTGAAATTCAACT